AACATAGGAGGACCTCAATACATAAGGCAACTGCTAATTAAAAGAGGAAATCGACAGTAACACAATAATAGTGGGGGACCTTAACACCTCACTTACCCCAACGGACAGATCATCCAAACAGAAAATTAATAAGGAACATGAGCTTAAAATGACACAATAGACCAGATAGATTGAATTGATATTTATAGTACAGTCCACCCAACAGCAGATTACACTTTCTTCTCAAGTGCGCATGGAACATTCTCCAGGATAGATCACATCTTGGGTCACAAATCAAGCCTCAGTAAATTTAAGAAAATTGAAATCATATCAAGCATCTTTTCTGACCACAACGCTATGAGGTTAGAGATCAATTTCAGGGAACAAAACCATAAAAAACACAAACACATGGAGGTTAAACAATATGTTACTAAATAACCAAGAGATCACTGAAGAAATCAAAGAGGAAATCAAAAAATGCCTAGAGAGAAATTACAACGAAAACACAATGATCCAAAACCTATGAGATGCAGCAAAAGCAGTTCTAAGAAGGAAGTTTATAGCAATACAAGCTTACCTCAAGAAATAAGAAAAATTTCAAAAACACCATCTAACGTTACACCTAAAGGAACTAGAAAGAACAAACAAAACCCAAAGTTAGTAGAAGGAAAGAAATCATAAAGATCAGAGCAGAAATAAATGAAATAGAAACAAAGAAAACAATAGCAAAGATCAATAAAACTAAAAGCTGTTCTTTGAGAAGATAAACAAAATTGACAAACCATTAGCTAGACTCATCAAGAAAAAGAGGGAGAGGACTCAAATCAATAAAATTAGAAATGAAAAAGGAGAAGTCACAACAGACACCGCAGAAATACAAAGCATCCTAAGAGACTACTACAAGCAACTCTATGCCAATAAAATGGACAGCCTAGAAGAAATAGACAAATTCTTAGAAACTATAACCTTCCAAGACTGAAGCAGGAAGAAAAAGAAAATATCAACAGACCAATCACAAGTAATGAAGTTAAAACTGTGATTAAAAATCTTCCAACAAACAGAAGTCCAGGACCAGATGCCTTCACAGGTGAATTCTACCAAACATTTAGAGAAGAGCTAACACCCATCCTTCTCAAACTCTCCCAATACACTGCAGAGGAAGGAACACTCCCAAACTCATTCTATGAGGCCACCACCACCCTGATAGCAAAACCGGACAAAGATACTACAAAAAAATAGAATTACAGACCAGTATCACTGATGAATACAGATGCAAAATTCCTCAACAAAATACTAGGAAACAGAATCCAACAACACATTAAAAGGATCATACACCATGATCAAGTGGGATTTATCCCAGGGACGCAAGGATTCCTCAATACACGCAAATCAATGTGATACACCATATTAACAAATTGAATAAAAACCATATGATCATCTCAATAGATGCAGAAAAAGCTTTTGACAAAATTCAACACCCATTTATGATAAAAAAAACTCTCCAGGAAGTGGGCATAAAGGGAACCTACCTCAACATAATTAAGGCCATATATGACAAACCTACAGCAAACATCATTCTCAATGGTGAAAACCTGAAAGCATTTCCTCTAAGATCAGGAACAAGACAAGGAAGGATGTCCACTCTCGCCACTATTATTCAACATAGTTTTGGAAGTCCTAGCCATGGCAGTCAGAGAAGAAAAAGAAATAAAAGGAATACAAATTGGAAAAGAAGAAGTAAAACTGTCACTGTTTGTAGATGACATGATACTCTACATAGAGAATCCTAAAGATGCCACCAGAAAACTACTAGAGCTAATCAATGAATCTGGTAAAGTTGCAGGATACGAAATTAATGCACAGAAATCTCTTGCATTTGTATACACTAAAGATGAAAAATGGCAAAGAGAAATTAAGGAAACACTCCCATTTACCATTGCAACAAAAAGAATAAAATACCCAGGAATAAACCTACCTAGGGAGACAAAACACCTGTATGCAAAAAACTATAAGACACTGATGAAAGAAATTAAAAATGACACAAAACTTTAGTTTAGTGGAGGGATATACCATGGAGGGATGGAGGGATATACCATGTTCTTGGAATGGAAGAATCAATATTGTGAAAATGACTATACTACCCAAAGCAATCTACAGATTCAATGCAATCCCTATCAAACTACCAATGGCTTTTTTTTTTTTTACAGAACTAGAACAAAAAATCTTAAAATTTGTACAGAGATACAAAAGACCCTGAAGAGCCAAAGCAGTCTTGAGGGAAAAAAACAGAGCTGGAGGAATCAGACTCCCTGACTTCAGACTATACTAAGAAGCTACAGTAATCAAGACAATATGGTACGGGCACAAAAACAGAAATACAGATCAATGAAACAGGATAGAAAGCCCAGAGGCAAACCCACGCACCTATGGTCAACTATTCTATGACAAAGGAGGCAAGGATATACAATGGAGAAAAGACAGTCTCTTCAATAAGTGGTGCTGGGAAAACTGGAGAGCTACATGTAAAAGAATGAAATTAGAACACTCTCTAACACCATACACAAAAATAAACTCAAAATGGATTAGAGACCTAAATGTAAGACTGGACACTATAAAACTCTTAGAGGAAAACATAGGAAGAACACTCTTTGACATAAATCACAGCAAGATCTTTTTTGATCCACCTCCTAGAGTATAGGAAATAAAAACAAAAAGAAACAGAGACCTAATGAAACTTAAAAGCTTTTGGAAAGCAAAGGAAACTGCAAACAAGATGAAAAGAAAACCCTCAGAATGGGAGAAAATATTTGCAAATGAATCAACGGACAAAGGATTAATCTCCAAAATATATAAATAGCTCATGCAACTCAATATTAAAGAAACAAACAACCCAATCCAAAAATGGGCAGAAGACCTACATAGACATTTCTCCAAAGAAGACATACAGATGGCCAAGAAGCACATGAAAAGCTGCTCAACATCACTAATTATTAGAGAAATGCAAATCAAAACTACAGTGACGTTATCACCTCACACCAGTTAGAATGGGCATCATCAGAAAATCTACGAACAACAAATGCTGGAGAGGGTGTGGAGAAAAGCAAACCCTCTTGCACTGTTGGTGGAAATGTAAATTGATACAGCCACAATGGAGAACAGTATGGAGGTTCCTTAAAAAACTAAAAATAGAATTACCATATGACCCAGCAATCCCACTACTGGGCATATACCTAGAGAAAACCATAATTCAAAAAGACACATGCACCCCAATGTGCATTGCAGCACTATTTACAATAGCCAGGTCAAGGAAGTAACCTAAATGCCCGTCGACAGACAAATGGATAAAGAAGATGTGGTGCACATATACAATGGAGTATTACTCAGCCATAAAAAGGAACGAAATCTGTAGAGATGTGGAGGGATCTATAGACTGTCATACAGAGTGAAGTCAGTCAGAAAGAGAAAAACAAATATTGTATATTAACGCATATATGTGGAGCCTAGAAAAATGGTACAGATGAACCGGTTTGCAGGGAAGAAATAGACACAGATGTGGAGAACAAACGTATGGACACCAAGGTGCGAATGTGGCGGGGGGTGTGGTGTGACGTGACGAACTGGGAGATTGGGATTGACATATGTACACTAATACGTATAAAATGGATAACTAATAAGAACCTGCTGTATAAAAACATAACATTTTATAATAAACTATAATGGAAAAGTCTGAAAAAATCTATAGCTATATCTGAATCACTTTGCTGTACACCAGAAACTAACACAACATTGTAAATCAACTATACTTCAATTAAAAAAAAATTTATGCAAGAGCTTAAAGTAACTAACTCTTTGTATGTCTAAAGAATTCAGAGATTATAAATAGGTTATAAGTTGACATTGTCTTTACAAAATTATATCACTTCCAACTTAGCATGATCAAATGGAATTACTTACTTTTCACTTAAAGTCAAATCCACCTCCTGACAAGCCTGATAAATTCATGTAATCCCAGCCAACTTTTATTTTTTTTCAGCAGGGGGGGTTGGGGTGTGTATATGTATTTGTGTGTACTGTGTGTATGCATATATATAAATAGACTTCATTAATATAAAGTCTCATATGATAAAATTCACAACTTTAAAGATACAACCCAATGGATTCTGACAAAGGTATCACGATGCGGAAGGTGCTGCCACCCCCAGAAGGTTCCCCGCAGGTGATCCCTGCTGTGCTCCTGGACTCACCAGCCTCTGGCACTAGAGCATCGCCATTTCTAGGGCTTCAGGTAAATGAACCTGTTCCACAGGTGTTCCTTTATGCCCCTAACTTCACTTAGCACAGTGCTTTGAGACTCACGGATACTGAGTGTATCAGTATTTTGGTCCCCTTTATGGCTGAGCAGCATTTCACTGTGTGGGTATTTCACAGTATTTCCCTGTGCGGACACCACATGGGGGGAAATGAGGCTGGCTCAGGTTCTGTGTGGACCGATGCTTTCACTTCTCTTGGGTAAACGCTCAGGAGTAGGACCACCGGGCTTTACAGGCAGTGCAAGTTAGCACTGGAAGATACCACAGACCCGTTTCTGTGCTCATAGCGCCTGCACCACAGGGACCGGGGTGGGGGATTCCATGAGGAGCTCAAGACCTGTGTCGCCCCCGAGACCTGCCTCTCCTGAACCCACAGCTCACACTGTCCACAGGGCCCGTTTGCAGTTAACTATGTACTGCAACACAACACACGTTTAGTGGCCTATTACAGCCCCTGGTATAGAAAAGGCATTTGTAAAATCCATGAATGAATAAACCTTATAAAGCCACCTCTTTTCCAGTATGCCTGCCTTTCCTGCTGAATCACAGGGTGGATTTTCTAAAAACAGGGTCAATCCTACTGGGGTTGAACCCACTGCACCAAACAGAGAACTCCATAGGCACCCAACAGAGGATTGTTGGCTGAAACGACACTTATCCCTAAACAGCACAGTGGGGTTGGGTGAAGGCGAGGGAATTACCAGGCCTGACCTTTTTCATAGATCTGCTGCTTGTCTTCCGGGGAAAGAGAGTTGACCTTTTGCTTCAGTTTTTCTGTTTCCAGCTGCATTTGTTTCTCGGAATACTTGTTGTCTGGTTTCATTGATAAAGTCAACTTATGCTGATTATTCTGCAACAAAAAAGCCAAATTAAAACAAGATTTTATCATGTCCAGCACCGAGCCAGCCTCGAGCAGTTCCATGTTCCCGTTTCACACAGTCACAACGACAGAACTCGCCCCGACGACAGAACTCGCCCCGAAGGGCTGTGTGTGGAAAGCCTGTGCGCCACACGCAATCCTTGAGGTCCACACACAATCCTCGAGGTCCATGTGCTCTGCGGGGACCACGTACTCCACACAGGCCGGTGCTGTGACATGACCACTGTGGTTACTACGTCTTAACCACAAACGCGTTGACATTCAACATTCCCTTTACATGTTGGTTGTACAAAGAAACCGCTTGCACTTTTTAATATTATAAACCTTTGGCTTTAGTCTAAATCGAAAATAACGTAGAATAAAGTAATTTAATTTTTACCTAGTCTTCATTATACTGTTAACTTCTTAAAGGCTGGGACTAAATTCTGCACTCAGTATTTTATACATTATGAGGACAAAACAGATGTTGCCCTAACGTGAAAATAAATGTTAGGTGACTTAATGTGCCCGATTTACGCAGCCACTAGAAACACACGCACGCAAAAGGTTCACCTGTGACACTACACAGAGTGGGAGAATTACAGCACGACAAGCACTTCATGCAAAATAACTCGTAACTCAAGAGAGACTGCTGGCTGAATGGTCCCAAATGCTGGTGCACAGGAACGCGGCTCCCACTCATGGCAGGACGGTGTCGTCCCCCCACCCCCCGACCCCCGGGGAAAGGGAGGTAGATGACTTCCTGTCCTATTAATGACCATCCACCAAGGAACACACACCAAGCACAAAAGCCCACAGATCTGTGGAGACAAACAAGCGAGCACCAGAAGACGCCTTGGTAAAAACAACCAGAACATTTACACATTTAGGCGACTCTTCTCGTATTCTATATATCCTATTACCAAAACACGACAAAAACACAGGCAGATATTTTGTTATACACATACCTACACACATTCATATGTAAAAAAACACATGCCATATTCATATAAAAACCAACCTGCCAAAAAAAAAAAAAAAAAAAAAAAACCAACCTGCCTAAGAATCTGGAAAATTGAATTTTTAAAGCTAATATGACTATTTACAATTTTAATTAGTAAGAAATTATGTCACCTGTCTATTAGCAGAAATGGACTTACACAATGTAGATTATATTCCTAATGTTCCCTTCATTGTTATAAAATTCCACTTCAAAACTACAGATATAAATCCTCCAAGTTTCTTACCTTAAAATACTGTTTTACTTTTTCTTGCAAAAATTTTGGATTTTCCTCCAGGCACTTCCGGAAATGGGCCACCTGACTCCCGAGCTTGAGGAGCTCCACGGGGTCCCCATCGTGATTCCAGCAGGAAGCTACGTACTGCAACGGGAGTCACAACATGCGGCACGTTACCTGTGAACTCTGCGTCGGTTCAGCCAACATCCAAGCCTGCCTTTTCATTAAGACTCAGTTTCTATATTTAAAAATACCACAGATGACTGTTCACGACAAAAATTAAGTCATTCTTTGGCTAGAAAAAGGAAAACTAAACTCATTTTATGTGAGTTTTTTTTCCTAACAAATTAAAAAGCACAGGTTCAAAAATTACTTTTTGGAAAATATAATTACTAATAGTTATCATAAATCCCTATCCGTTTAAAGCACTCTGCATAAATCTATTAAAAAATAAGACATCGGAAAGCTAATGAAGTAAGCTAGTAAAAAGACAAGCAACGTATTATTAAAATTAACAGTAATTTTATATCCGATCTGAAACACCGTTAACTTTCAAGGTTCAAATGAAAGGTGCTGTGAATAACAATCTGTATTTTCGAGAACCACTAATTATAAAGGTAACAAAAAAAGAGAAATGAGGCGTTTGAGCAATACACACAGACGTCAGGGCGAGTCCAAAGCTGACAGACTGGTGCTTCATCTGTATCTCAATTTTATGAAGTAAGGCTTCGATTCGATCATCTTCAAATCCTTTCCTATAGAAACACCAAGAACTCAGATGTTGAGAAGAAATCCATGTTTCTGAACAAGGCAGCTCCCATGAAGGAGTATGTGTTCTGTGACGTAAAGTGCCCCCTACACTCAGGAGGGGGCACTCCAGCCCAGCCCCACAGACACCTCACGTACTCGATGATGTCATCCAGTGTCCTATCCACGAGGTCCTGGACTGTCTGAATGTCCTTCTCTGCGATACCCTGCAGGCCCACGCTGAAGTAGGCCTCCCGTGTGCAGCCATTGTACCTGGGATACAAAAGCAGGTAATGCGTTAGAATCTGTACAGCCTCCATCACTCGTTTATAAGATGCTTTACTGAGATCAAATCCTCTACAGGACACAGGCAAGGACTCCCCCATGAGAAAGTCAGTAAAGCAGAGTCCTCGGGTATTTGCTGCTCAGATACAACTAGTCACATTTACATTCATGTCCTTTTAACATTTCTAAAAATCACCACAATTTAAATTTTAGATTTAAGGCAGAATAAATCTAGAGAGTTTTAACAAAATCTTAAGATTTCAAAGAATATTTAATGGCCTGATTTTTAAAACAGGCAGCAGTATGCCATTCTGAGATCTTGGAAGAGCTACCTTGTTGGGTTTTGTTTGGTTTTTTTTTTTTTGCCAAATGTCCCCTGCAGGGGACACAAACAGCTTGTCCTGGAACCATAGCTGGGGCGGGAAGAGGGCCGTCCTGTGACTATGGAATGTGGAGCATCTACACCCCTGACCCCCGCCCATGAGCTGCCAGTTGTGACAACCTAAAATGTGTCCAGACATTGTGAAATGTCAAAATTGCCCCTATCGTGGACTAATGATCTGATCTGATAATAAAACGTACCCAACGTCAGGGGAAAAGTCTGTGCCGAGTCCAGATTCAATGAGGGCTTTGTAGAAGGGGGAGTTGGGGCCACTGATCAAGAGTGAAGACAGAAGGCTCAACGTGAAGGCTTCAAATGTGTCAGTGATGCTTCATTTATAAAAACGGGAGGGGGGAGAAAAAAAGGGAAACGGTTGGCCCTTATAAATGTTTTCAAAATTATTAAAATCACTACTAAATTGACACATATTTCCCCCCAAAACTGAAATTCTACTAGAAATTCTTGCATTTCAACTTCTATTTTAACAGTTACACGGGTAAAGAGAGTATTTTTTGATATTCAAAGCTCTCATATGCTGGAATTCTGGGGCTCCCAAACCCTGAGGCTAACAGAGCTGCACATCGCATGCTATCATACAACAGGGTGCCCAGCACTCTGACGTGCACTGTTTCAGTATAACCGCACCGCCCACACGCAGATGAGAGACACACAGGAAACGGGGCCATTCGGTCAGGCTGTGCAGCTGCAGAGGGCAGACACAGACAGCGCGGCAGGACCCCTTCCTGCCCACACGCCCTGCAGGCCCAGGCCTCTGGGATTAGTCTCGTGTGAAAAAATGTTCTTTCAAGGCCACAGTTAACAGTGCTCTTCTCACACACAGATGCATCCCCGACCCCCAACTCTAAACCCAAACCATCCCAGATGTTGTTAAAAACACCCCACAGCTAACACTGCTGGAGTCCTGAATTCTTACTGTCCACTCACTTACGCCCAAGTGGAGCGTCCCCCGCCCCCGACCTCCCAGCTACCCCGTCCCCACTGGGTCGGCAGCGTGAGCTCCACGCACACTCACTCTGGCAGGAGGAAGCTGACACTGATGGTCGTCTGCTCTGAGGAGCCCGCGGCCAGCGAGTCCGGGGCACACGTGATCTGGAACTCCCTCTGGAAGAGGACAGAGCGTCTGTGAAGGGGTTCAACCAAGCACAGGTTACCTGATGTATAAAACGGTCCACAGGATACTTTTCACTAGATTAACTTTCCTCCCAAACAAATAACTGCTCTTCAGGCTTGAGAAGCTGTTACGTACACAGCACAGTCCACGGCATCTGAAAACCCTATTAACATATGCCCGTGCCTCCGTAGCACGTATTTGACAGGGCTGGTGACACTTATACTCTGGACCCGGCACTTACAGGCTTATCCCAAGGCTTCTGGGCTGGCACTGTGGTATGTGGCTTGATTCTCTGAAATTTACTCAGTGCTTCTTCATGAATTTGTTTCAGATGCTGTTCTAGCGGAAAATTACCATAAGTGAAGAACCTGAAATTTTGAGAGAATACCTTAGTTTATTTTAGGTTAAAAGATTAGAAATCAACACAGACGGCTTTGTATGAACTGGAGGGTGTGCAGGACATGACAGCCGATAACAAGCCAGTTTCCAGGCTGAAGTGAACTTCACACAGGAACACCTTTTTTCACTTAATTTAACCACAAACACTGAAGAGGCTTTTGCTCTTTTTACAAGATATGGTTCAAACAAAACACAAACTGTACAAAAGGTATTAATTAAATGTACTCTGGCAAAAATTGCTCTTCATTTTGAATCTACTGTTAAAGGTGTTTCAAAAACCAAATAAGTTGCACATTAAAAAACTTAAGACCTTAGCTACAGTAACACAATAATCCACCTAAGACTACCAAACAAAATTTAATTCACAAACTTCAAATTTAGGCTACAAGTTTCAGGTCACACATGTTTTTAAGACAACATATTATTCATCGGGGATAAAGAAGACAATGACAGACTTCATCTTTGTAACAGAATGCTGTGTGAGCTCCGCTTAAGGGCTAGGGAAGTAGCATCCTAAAGATCCCGTCACATCTCCCACTCGGAATTTAGAATGTGATAATCCAGGGCAACTAAACCATCTAAACACAGTCTCTATATGCCCGTCTGCATTTAGCTCCAGAACTCCCTGGAGAAAAGGCCAGCTATGGACTGGGGGCAGGATGAGCCTGGATTTGGGGCTGGGGCAGAAACCAGTGAAGTTACTGAAGACTAAAGACCTTCAGAAAGACAGGATGACTGTCAAGGAACTTCCTTAGGCCACAGTGGGGCAAATTTGAGCATTAAAAATTTTTATTTTAATTTCACTTGATCACACCTTAAATATACACATATATGAAAACGTTTCCATGAGGTTGTAATGATATTTTAAAAAATGAAATAATTCAAACAAGACTAAAAAAAAGTCCTTTCTGTCGTCACTGGAGGAGTGCCAGCCCCCAAAACTGGACAGCCAAGGGAAACTTCACTCCCACTGCCCACCCACCGCCTTTCCCGGGAGAACAGTACTTCAGGGTAAATTCTTCTTTACAGAAACCCAGCCAATAAATATAGAAGAAATTACAGAATTCTTTAGAAAATTTGCAAATCCTATCACAGGAACTGCTCCAGGCAACAATTATCACTGAACATGAGAGCCGCTCCTAGGCCGTGAGGAGTGTGAATATTCTTGGGGCCAGCACGCCACCCCAGCAGACGGCCTGGGTCCGCAGGGGGAGCGGGCTTTCAGTGGAGCGAGGTCGCCATCACCATCCCACCAGCCCTGGCATCCCCGCTGGGTGCCGCAGGCACGCAGGCATCACCTACGAGGGTGCAGGCAGTCTCTGGACCCACGTCCAGCTCTCAGGAAACACAGAAGCACGTCCGCCAATACCAGAGAAGCGGCGAGACACCCCAGAAGGCGAGAAAGTCAAGAGGGGGCCTGGCCTAACGTCTTCAACTGGTCCATGAGAATGAGGAGGGGGCACTGTCCCACTAGAAAGGGTGCTTAGGAGACACGGCAGGGAAAGGCAGTTTGTGGGCCTCATCTGATCAAACATTTCAGGGACAACTGGAAAATCAATTTGGGCTGAGGTATAGGTGGTTTTAATCAGTTTTAATCAATTATTTTTTATTTTGTTAAACGTGAAAATGCTATTATCTTATGTAAAAGAACATCCTCGAACATATCTGCATGTATCTACATATACCTATGTACACGTCCAAAGGATGAAGCTACGCGGTAAGTGTACAGAGTTCGTTGTTCTACTCTTTACACTCTCCTGGATGCTTTAGACTTTTCATAATTTAAATTTTAAAATTTTGCACTTAAAATAATCTTGCAAGTATGACTTTACATGAACGCTTAATGTATTTGCAAACACGGCTATTAGCGTTTTATTATTAACAGTATCTTACACAAGCAATCTAATAGGAAGTAAATCTCTGAGGTTTACTGATGCAGCCGCCACTTTGGGGGCACCTCTCCAGGGCCCGTGTCAGCCTGCAAGGAGGACCTGCCAGCCTCCCCTGTCACCCCCTCAGCACAAAGCTGAGCTACAGAGGAGGCAGGCGGGCAGGCCAGGCCCTCACCTTGCTGGGCGTGTGAGAGTTACCACTGCAGACCCGAAGGAGTGTCTAAACGCACACATTATTAAGCAAACCTTTCCAAGCCGAACTGGAGAAAAGCATGACAGTGCAAGGAAAGCAAACACCTGGCACCGAGCTTCACAAGGCAGTCACCTGGCGTTGCTGGGGTGGTAGTGTGTGGCGTGGAACTGTCTGAGCTGCTCCCACGTGAGGTCCGGGATGCACAAGGGGTCCCCTCCGGAGACCACTGAGTATGTGTGGTCGGGAAGCAGGTGGCTCTGAACGTGCTGCGAGAACATCCTCTCGTTATCTGTCTTCAAGTAAAAGTACACATGTACGTGAAGACCAACGCAGGCACTGTTTGTGTAATTCAACAAATGAGCCACGTCCTGGGAGCACACCCACCAACATCCCGCAAGGACAACTGTTCTCGTGGTACATGAGGACGCCCACCGATGCATCTTTCAGCCATGAAGTGATGTTAATTAAGCTATGTATGGTTTTTTCAGGCGTGGTGCTACCGCACACTTTTAAGTCCTACAGTAAAGTGTACACATAACTTTTACACGCACCAGGAGCCAAAAAACCCCGCGACCCGCCTTACTGAGACATTCCCTTTATGCAGTGGTCTTTACCAATAACTTGATATGTAATTAGATCTGTAAACCCCACCATATACTCGGGCAAGAGAGAGTGGAAAAGACACGGTCTCGGGATCATCAGAAACGCGGTCTTCACCTGGCTGACACCCTACAGGTCACAGGTCACTGTGGCTCCCACACCACAGCTGGGAACTGCTGTCCAGCTCACTGTCCTGCGGTCCCTGCTCACAGCACTGTGCCCGCTAATTCCAGTTCTCATAGTGAGAAAACTGTGACATGGCATGACGCCACCTAGCTACTGAGCCTATTTGTACTTCAACACTTTATACAGTAAGATAATTTAGCCCAACATGAAAAAGGAAAACACTCACAAATGCTCCCTTCATTTCGTTAAAGACAACTCCTTTAAAGACCAAGGGCGTCTGGGGGTCATTGGGATCCTCATGTTCTAGTCGCCATCCTTCCTGCCTAAAGAGTAACAAGCAATTACATGGGGACGGTGAGTCTATCACTAAGGTAAAGATCAATTAGCCAATCACAACATACCAGAAATCCAGTTCCCGTAAGCAGGGAAAGAAGGCTGCGTCCAAATACACGGATAGGAGGTTCCGGAAGTCCTTGGGGTTTTGTGTGGAAAATGGGTACAGGGTGTAGTCACTAGCTGGACACAATGAAGAGGGCGATTTTAAATACAGCAGTAGTTCCCGCAGGACTCCTCCACCTCAGCCCCGTCTCAGCCTCACAGCAGGCCTGACCTGGCAGGGGCACAGAGGCAGCAGCGCCCACTCTGGGCGGCAGGTCTGGCGCCGGGGTCACCGCGGGCCCAGAGGGCGGCCTGGCCCACGGAGCGCCCACTGTGTGTGCCCAGCCGCCCCCGTCGCCAGCCTGTCACTGCCCGGCTTCCTGCAGTCACCACCCAGACACCAGCACCAGCACCATCACCGCTAACCTAAGCTCCAGAGGCCGAGCTTTCTAACATTACTTCCCAAAGAAAATGGCTGTCACCTTTTCCAGACAAAACTCAGACACATTTTTTCCTAAAACTCCAGGTTTTATAATCAACCACAATTTGGCTTTCCCAAATGATTAAGCTTCTAACGTCCTCCAGACAGGGAATGGGAAATCTACCCCAGTCTCCTGAGTGCCAACACCCCACCCCCTCCCGCCATCTCAGAAACTGCGGGAAGGCAGGGCTGTGTCCCGAGACCGCGTCTCACCCGTGAAGGCGTTCATGAACGTAGACAGCGACCTGTTCAGCATCTTGAAGAAGGGGTCCCGGCAGGGGTACCTCTGAGAGCCGCACAGGACCGTGTGCTCCAGGACGTGCGGGGCACCGCTGCTGTCCATGGGGGTGGTGCGGAACTGCACACTGCGGGGACAGGGTCCACACCTGGTCAGCCACCGCCTGGCCGTGGGGAGCGGAGGAGGGAAACTCCTCTACTCTCCCTGTTAAACTGCTGAAGGTGCAGTAGATGCTCCAAGCAGAGCATCCAGATCGTGACCTCAGGACGCAGCACACACCTGAACAGGTTATTTCTGTCCTCTCTGGCCAGGTGCAAGTGCTGTGCTCCCGTGCTGTCATGGCTGAGTTTCACGGCGGTCAGGGACAGCTCAGGAACAGATGTTACCTGAACCAACAAGGAAAACAGGAAGAACTCAACTCGGCTGGGAAGGCATCCAGGACGGTGACAGTGCATCCATGGCTGCAGGACCAGCTCACCTGCCTGAGGCTAAGGCAGTACTGGCAGGAACCACCATGTCCAGAGCCCACAGACCAGGAAGACAGGACCCGGGGCTGAGTACAAGGCACACCTTCTCTCCTCAATGCTCACTGTTGACTAGGGAATTCCTGACTGCGCCACAGGTAACGCTGGGAAGCAAGCATTCCCACCCCATCAGGGTGATGAGACAGTTTGCTAAGACCACAGAGCCTGGATTGAGACCCCTTCCGTCACACCAGGCTGCCCCGAAGGAGATCACGCTTTCGCCTGGAATGTCTGTGGTGTCTCTTGCACACTTCATCTCCGGGGATGCTCAGAACAGCCCCACCAGGAGGTAAACACGGGGATGGACCTGAGCCTGGGGCAGCTGAAGGATGCTCTTGGGACTAAACTTTGCTTCTACTGGTTTGAGTTCCTGGCGGTGAGCTGGGGCTATCACCAGTTACTTGTTCCTAGTGGGAGGGTCCATGAGGGTACAGATCACTCCCCACAGAGGCAAACCTGTTCTCACCCCCGGTGGAGGTTGTGTGTGCGGGCGTGCTTCCGTAACTTCCACTGTCCTTGGTACTAAAGCAACTGTGTCAAGGCCCCTCTCCTTCAACCGCAGCGCCGCGTCATCGTAACCACCACACAGCCGTGAGAGTGACTTGTCTTCGCTGACAACTTACTGGCAGGGCAGAGATTAGAACTCGGATGTCCTGAGCCTGCTCTGGGGGGCCCTGCCACAAAAGCTATGTGCTTCAAGTGCTCTACTGATGCCCACGTAAGCTATACCTATGAAATCACTTGTCTCGAAATCATTTACATCTCAGAGTTCACAACTATACTTTGTAAGATGCGATCAATGAATTTAAAACCAGTCTGCCTCATAAACAGCTTTCACAGTAACTGTTTCTAAAAAGCATGACAGCTTATCATAAACTAAGTTTCTGATAGCTTATCATAAGTAAGTTTCTACAAAACTTGAAACATAAAGGAAAAGAATCAGCTTCTGAACAAGGCATTATTAACCACAACTGTATTAGAAATCCCAAGTCCCCTGAGAAGTCTTTAGGGGCCTCACAAAAGGCCCCTAAACGGGAGTCTTTAGGGGCTCTCTCCCACAGCCATGAACCCCTCTAAGTGGCTCAAAGCTCCTGGACCCTGCCTTGAACACTCCCTGCCCCTGTGCTGGGCCCGCTCCCATTTCCTGGAGACAGATGGCGGCTCTCCTTTCATGCTCTACAAACCCGTCCCCACCCAGGGCCCAGCAGCCCCCTCTCCTGCGTCTTCCTCTTGCTCTCTGCACCTCAGCAAGCTGTTCCTTGTCCTGAAGCTGCACACATGTCCTTCTGACTGTGAGCTGCTTGCTTTTATTTTCATTAGCGTGTCAAGCACAGTGTGATACCAGCAACCAGTCAATTATATGATGTGCATTGTTTTCAATTATAGCATTAAAGAAAAAAACAATGTGAAAGTTTAAGCCAAACAAAGCAATAACAAAATAAAATCCATTTTTACATAAACTTAAGTACCTATAGGCCCACAATCTCTTTTCTATAATCCTGAAACCCAAATGGCTCAAAAACAGAAAGATTTTGCCCAAGTTTGGAGCAAACTCAGCCGATGGTGAAACCTGACCTGAATAGATGTGGGGCCTTCAGTCTTTATTACCGGTCACGGCTGATGCAGAAACAAAAATGAGTTCATTTACTTTCTGAACTCTGAAAAGATGTGAGGCGTCTAGGGGTTCAGGGAAGGCGTTGGGGATTTGTACTCATTTAAGAGTCAGAAAATCCCTTCATTTGCAAAACTCCGCTCCTTTGAGCACCTGCTGTGAAACAGGAGGAAGCCAGGTCCTGGGGACAAAGATGAAAACCCCTGCGGTCTCTGCTCTGGGACCTGACACAGGAAGAGCACACAGGGCCTACCTGGCTGACAGTGAAGCCGTGGATCTTCTCTCCGACCCGGTACCGCAGCAGCGCCCTCTCACAGGCCGTGGTGCTCGCCCACCTCCATGCTCCGAGGCTGGCGCTGCTATGTTTAAGGAAAATAATCAAAGTTACATAATTTGCAGGGAGACTGGCTAACATAATTCAGCAACATAATGAAAACGCTGTCATGGGATAAAGAATTCAAAGAAAAATGAAAACCTGCATCTTCTAAACATTCCAGGAAATTTCCATTAAAGTTCTTTCAGTTTTATCTCAACTCATGCAACGCCAACTAATAAATAAATGCTGAAAACCTTTTATTTGTACATGTCCATAAATAACTATAATACAATTATAACACCCATTTCCCTTGTGTAAAAAACAACTCATGTCAAAATCACAGTATCCCAATAAACTGAGTCTACAATAAAGTCCCATTACGTACCTACCAAGTGGGTGAAAACCAAGAAGTCTAGTTATTACCAGGGAGTCACATGCCCTGACACGCGCGCCCGTACGCGTGCACACACACACACACACACACACACACACACACACACACACACACCACATACACCATTCCCAAGAGCCCTAAACCCCAGCGGCCCAGATGTCCAGCAACAGAGAACACATAAATTGTGGACTATTTAGTTGATAAACTTAGTCCTAAGAATTAATGGACTACAACTACATGTATCAAAGATGTGGGCACATGATGCTAAACCAAAAAAAATTACAAAGGACAGACACAATATTAGTCTAAACAGGTACTGTTCAATCAGGTAACGCTGTAGCGTGGGAGTATTGATGGATGGTAAAAACACAAAGAAAAATAAGGAGGTTATTTCTGTAAACCAGAAGGGCAATTTCATTTAAGAGGGAGGAGAATTATGACGTATGATGGGTAAGGAGCAATCTTAAACTGGGTAATGGTGACACAGCTTATTTTTAAATAATTTTTTCTCACCTGCATTATACGTTTTATGGTGTTTTCTACATTAACGATGTATCCCAAAAATATTTCTTTTATGTAAGATAAGCACACAATACACTGACTCATTCAATATCAGGCAATAGTACGGGGATGTTCTATTAACAACCAACATTTCCCTCCCCGATTTAGCCACTCTTAGAATTATGAGATAGAGGATTTTAACCCAAAACACAAATAAGGGCAGCCCAACAACAGACACCCCCCTGCTCCCTTCCCTGGGCTAACAGCAGCTAAACTCCACCACAAACTCAACAAGATTCTGTGAATTAGCATGAAACTAAACAATTCATCTTTGTTTAAAAAGTAAAATATTGTCCTATTTTACAAACTCAAAAGACATGATACTTATTCATGGTTTGCAGCTAAACACACTCTTTTACCATAAACCTTCTCATTAAACACAATGCTCCTCCACTCCCGGAGGCGCCACTCTCATCAAGGCCGCAGGTTAAGTAAGCGCAGGTGCGGAGCCTGAGGCCTCCCTGCCCACAACTACACACAGGGGAATGGAGCTAACGCCTAATGAGACCCGTAACTGCCGCCTACTTTTATTCTCGCATTAAAATCCACACCAACGACAGCCTGCACGCAGGGCCACCGCTCTGGGAGGCCCGGAGTGAGAGGGGTCAGGCCGGGTCCTCCACGGCTGTACCCCAGTCTTTCCTGGCTGCAGCATCCCAACCCTGGTAACTGGACAGGAACTCCCTTCCTCTGGGGGAGGCCACTGGAGGGGATGCTCTGCCATCCCGACGGGCTCTCGGAGCGAGGTCCCGGGCGAGGGGCCCCGGGGTGCACGAGCCACCAGACGAGGGGGCCGGGGATGCAGGAGGCCGCAGCAGAGGGGCCCCGGGAGCCCCAGAACAAGGAGGTGAGGTACGGCACCCCGGACCAGAGAGATACCCCGAGGCCTCCAGCACCCCGGCGCCCTCGCCGCCCACCTTCCCTCCCCGCTTCACTTTCCCTTCCGCTTCCTCGCTCCCCATAAACTTCCCCCTTTCCTCCCCCCCGCCGCCTCTCACCGGCCGTTCAGCCTCCGCAGCGAAACGCCGGCTCTGCACCCGCTGCGCCACATGGCTTGTGACCGGCGCACCGCCGGCCGTGACCCCACTTAACCCGACGCACGGCGCGGGGCGGGACGAGCCGGCCGCCACCGTATTGGTCAGTACGCAAGGCGACGGCTCCTTCAATAGGCTGGCGAGGAAGGGGGCGGGCCCCGCTACGGCGGGGCGGGACTCGAGGGCGGGGAGGGCGAGGCGACGGAGAGGCGGGGCTGAGAGCCACGGGCAGGCGTAGGGAGGGGCGGGGCCTGCGCAGGGGAGGGGCGGGCGTGTGCAGGGGAGGGGCGGACTTACGCTGAGCCAGGTGAATTGCGTGGTCCTCTGGCCACAGGTGGGCGCTGGTTTCCGGAATGGAGGTTGTGCGTACTCAGGCGTCCGTTAGCAGGTCTCGGGCAGTGAAGTGAGAAGGGCGTCCAGCTTCAGGCTCCTTTCGGGTGCCCTAGCCCCGGGCTGTGGAGCTTCGTGGATAAGGTTAGAGGACTGCATCACCTGCTTTCCACGGCCACGATTCCACGATGTCATGCTCTTACTTACGAACGGTCCCAACCAGAATACCCACAGCAAACCGCAGGGCAGCTCCCCACCGGCATTTCGTGCCTGGGGGGACTACACACGTGGCCTACTCGAACCTAAGGGAGTGGCTCCAGGAGGGCAGAGCATGAGTGGGTGGGCCGGCAGGCGGCTGTGGGCTGTCAAGGGCATTTGGGATTAAACACACCTGGGCACGGTATGGGAGGGACTTGGAAGAATGCAGGACCCGAGTCTGACCTCAGAGCTTTTGTTTCCTCCATTCTCTGGACTTCCGCATCCCACCCACCCCCTCCCCCATCCCGGGACTTCAAAGGGACTCATATCTCCCTGACCTTTCCTCCAGGTTCTAAAGAAAGAACGCTAAGTAGACAGGTGCAATTGATTTGAACACGAAACGCTTTGACAGCAACGTAAAGGGTAATAAGGCAAGGAAAAGTCACCAAAGTCTACAAAAATCTCTCCACGATGCAGAGGAGTCTGTAGTTAACCACTTATTCAGAGGAGAATCAGCTGAACCAGGACAAACAAGGGTAATGATGAGAAGGTACGGACACAAACATACTCCGTGCAAATACCTTTCCTCTGATGAGAATTTGGGTGATAAATGTTAGACCCACAACATCTCTGTGATCTTGGGGGAGACAGTTGGGTGTTATTAACCCTGCTGTGATTGTGCAGGAAACTGAGGCACTGGAAGGTTCTAGAATTTTGATCTCTGAAGAATAAATGCTACATAAATCCACTAATTGCCACTTAGTAGAATGTTTCCACAGGATAAACCTCACTGATGGCTGACCCACACATACACACTAAGAATTTATACATAATTATGTTTAGCAGCACCAACATAATATTAACATTCATATGTAATCTCAATTTACATTAACACAAATCTTTGCAAGGTAGAAAAGAAACATCAAAAATTGTCTATGCAATATCTTGTTACAAAAAAAAATCCTATGTTATAATGAAACGTTGTGTTAGTAAGATTAGCAAGTGAGCATTCTCAGAATAGACTGTGCCTGGGACATAGAAAGGCAATCAAGCGAATATCAGAGTGTCATGTGTAGAACTGTGTCTCCCCAAAAAGATATGTTGAAGTCCTAACCCCCAGAACCTCAGAATGTGGCCTCATTCAGAAATAGGGTTTGTACTGAGGTAAACAAGTTAAAATGATAATCCAATATGACTGGTGCCCTTTTAAAAGGGGATAGTTAGGCACCTTGACACACACAGGAAAAGACCACGTGAAGATGAAGGCAAAGATTGAGGTGATGCTTCTGCAAGCCAAGGTACCTAAGGATTACCAGCAACACCAGAAGCTGGGGGAGAGCTATGAACAGATTCTCCCTCACAGCCTCAAAATGAACCAATCTGCCAATACCTTGATCTCCAAATTCTGGACTCCAGAATGATGAGACAGTAAATTTCTGCTGTGCTAAGCCACCCAGTTTGTGGTACTTTGTTACAAATCTCTAGCAAACTAATACCAAGATGTCAAGGTTCTTTTACCTCCAGAAGAAAAATATGAAGTAGTTTAACTGAATATGTTGTTTTCAGGATTTCATGTCATCGATAAAATGCATGCTTTTGCAAATCCCTTATTTCTGAATTCTTCATAAACAGCAATCAAGTGATGACTGCTGGAAATGCAAAGTAAGTATCTCCAAAGTTGGCATGAAGGAAAGGTATAAAATGTTAACAGACTCAGTGCTGATAACATGAAATAAGGGGAAACAGCCTCAGACTAAAACCCAAACTGCAATCCTAGCACTCTTTTATTTTTTTTCACTCAATAAATGTTTATTCTGTGTCACCTGTTTGCAACCACTGAATATTTCTACCGATAAGTTTGCATAAAGCATTTCATCTTTCTGTTGAGCTTGTAAAACCGGGATTGTCTGTAGAGAAAGAGGTCCCAATTTTCTCTCAGTTGACTTTCAACCCTATGGTCCTATAGTTTTGTCATCTTAGGTCTTAATTTTGACGTTGGTCACACACTGACTTCAGTCTTCTGTTTTGTCTGTTTAAAATGACCCATTCAGAAATTCACATAATTTCGCAGATTTTGATTTCATTTCTACTTCTAGGTACATTCCCTGATGTCCACCTCTTATGCACATCACCTCTCCCCCTGAAATTAGTTTAACTTTGGGTGTTTTAAGTAGTTGTTTTAGAAAACCTAAGATGTTGTTGAGATTCCTCTTGGCTAAAATCCTTAATAATAATACTTAAAAAAAAACTTTACAAATTTACATATAACTATGAGACAAAAAGGCCAGGATTAATGGTTAAGAAAAGGTACATTAAAATAACAATGAAATATTATCTATCAAATGTAACAGTTTGATAAAACTCAAGGCTAGTGAGGTCTGTGAAATTACAGGGATCAGGTATTTTTATGCTCTGGGAGCTATACTATATATATTTACCTTTTGGAAAGCACTTTGGCATCATTTATGCATATTTTAAATGCATGTACTCATTCACCAGAAATTTCACTTCATGACAATTATCCTACAGCTATATTCTCACATGGGCACAATGATGTATAAATAATGTTCCCTGCAGCACTTTCTGACTACAACAAATATTGAACAACATACAAGTCTACCAAGAGGGGTTTTCTTAAATAAAATGTAACACATTTATATAATTAAATACTACATAGATAGTAGAAATAGTGATATGTATTATCTTTCATATATCTATATCTACATCTATATCTATCTATCTAGCACAAATTAGTAAAAAAAAAAAAAAAAATCCGGATGCACGCTGAAGCTCTCACTTGAGTGGGGAAGATACACTTGCATTTGAGTGGAATGAGTCAAAAAGGAGATCTTAATTGTGAACCTAATATAACACTTTAGCAAAAGGCATTTAACAAAGACCTAAATAAAGGGCAAGGGGTTCTGTTTTCATGGACAGGAAGCTCAGTATGATAAGGATGTCATTCCCCTCCAAAAATGCAATGCAATTCTAATAAAAATCCCAACAGATTAGGAGCACAAGGTGATCCTAAGACAGAGATGAAGGAGAAAAGACTAAAGAACAGGCAAAGCAATTTTGAAGCACAGTGTGGGAAACTTATTTTAGCAGGAATTTTAAAAAGTCTTATTAAGGACTTTTAGACTTATTAATTCTACAAAGCTATAGCAAATAAGATAGTGTGTATTAACACAGAGGGAGAGAGAGGCAAAGAGGCTGAAAGAATCTAGAAAAAGCCAGGAATAGACACCTAGGGCACTGGAGAACAGATTCAATAAATCTTGTAAATTACATGGGAAAAAAGTGGAATTGCTACTTCAAATCACTTTGTACATACCTCAAGGCCACAATGATATTATACTTCTTCTAAGGGCTTAAAAGTTTTACTTTTCTCACTTATGCTTTTAATACATGTAGTTTGAATTTTGTTTCTGCTCCCTGTAAATAGAAAAATCCTGAAGATTAAAATGCCCGCAGAATGAGTCATTAGGTTGGCCCCCTGACTTATGGTACAATTTTAAGTTGGAGTCGAGGCAGAGGAAGGACCTTCCCTCCCACCCCATCGTCCTCAGCATGCATGCACTGATGCCTGAAATACCACAGTGGGAGAAAATTATGTTCCAAATTCAGCAAAATGCTTGAAATGCAATACCCATTTTCTTAAAATCACACTGAGAGTGAATGACTTTTCTTGACCATGTGTAAGGAACATGACTGACAGGGGATACAGAAAGAATGTCAAAGGATATGGGCAAAGGGTTCATCGCCAGGTGGAAATGAGAAAATGAAGAGGGAAAAAAATATAACCTAGAAACTTCCAAAGACAACATTTATTCTCTTCAAATGTTTCTTTTCTAAGGGTAGCCATTACTCAAATTTTAATCATTTTATATGTTTCAGATGTTTTAACAGCAACTCAAAAGCTACTGTTTCCTTATGAACGATTTGGTAACTTGTAAAACTAAACCACGGTTTACTCAGTTGGTTACAACACAGAACCATCCAGTTCAAGGCTCCATGTCTGACCTTTTATCTGCTCCATGGTCATGAATTACTTGCTTTATGTGATAAATCATTTTACAATACTTGGAACACTTTATAATAATTTTGTAATCGCTTTCCAAGGTAGGAGTGCAATGTGTTCATAATCACTCTCTTGTTGGATAAAATTTTTTTGAGCTCCTAGGACAGGCTGCATACTTTTCTGCTGCTAAATTTTGGGTAAATTTTTACAAATTACCTCTTCAGGCAGAGATTAAAGACACGGCCCCTACTTTTATGGGACCTTTGGTCTAGCTGGGCTAAAATCAAGGTGTCAGCAGGGGCGTGTTTCTTCTGGAGGCTTTGGGGAGAATCCTTTTTCTTGCCTGTTCCAGCTTCTAGAGGATGCCCACATTCCTTGACTCATGGCACCTTCTTTTCAACTTCAAAGGCAGCAATGGCTGGTCCAAGTCTTTCTTCCGATGCCATTTCTCTGGATCTGATGCTTCTGCCTCCCTTTTCCCTATCTAAAGACCCTTGTA